TTAGTAGAAAATATGGAGTTAATTTTGTGGGTTTAGTAGAAAATATGGAGTTAATTGTGTGGGTTTAGTAGAAAATATGGGGTTAGTTTTGTGGGTTTAGTAGGAAATATGGGGTTAATTTTGTGGGTTTAGTAGAAAATATGGAGTTAATTTTGTGGGTTTAGTAGAAAATATGGAGTTAATTTTGTGGGTTTAGTAGAAAATATGGAGTTAATTGTGTGGGCTTAGTAGAAAATATGGAGTTAATTTTGTGGGTTTAGTAGAAAATATGGAGTTAATTGTGTGGGTTTAGTAGAAAATATGGAGTTAATTTTGTGGGTTTAGTAGAAAATATGGAGTTAATTTTGTGGGTTTAGTAGAAAATATGGAGTTAATTTTGTGGGTTTAGTAGAAAATATGGAGTTAATTGTGTGGGTTTAGTAGAAAATATGGAGTTAATTTTGTGGGTTTAGTAGAAAATATGGGGTTAGTTTTGTTGGTTTAGTAGGAAATATGCAGTTAATTTTGTTGGTTTAGTAGAAAATAGGGGGTTAGTTTTGTGGGTTTAGTAGAAAATATGGGGTTCGTTTTGTGGGTTTAGTATGAAATATTATGGGGTTTGTTTTGCGGGTTTAGTGAAAAGTTTGGAGTTCGTGTTAATGTTTTAAAGCGACAACGTGGTTACGATGTGTCGTGTTAAGGCATTGATTTATTCAGCGACCCTCTAATCCATATTGATGAAGGAATTTGGAAATGAAACAGCCCAAATTAACCCTAACCTACATCTCCCGTGCCAGGTCCGTGAAGCTATGAACACACCAACACTAACCACCGAGGCACGTGTAAATCAGTGGCTACAGGACAAGCCCAGAAGAAATGATTCGTAAATAGATTCGTTCATGAGAATATTTGAAATGAAAATTTTTCACTCGACGAAAAAAAATGTTTTAAGGGGAGGGTAAGGGGGATAAGCGAGGCATAAAAAAATGGCGTCACAAATATGAAATAAATAAGATAAATCCTAGCCCATCAAATTTAGTTGCCGATAATCTGCAGTTGTGATAAGACGTTGGATGCAGCGCATGACGTGGCCTGGGTTTTGTTTTGAAAGCAAGCAAACACTTGCGCCATTCTCCGCTGGTGAAAAACTAATTCCTAGCCTGAGTTGCAGAAGTGGCAAAAACAAATCAATGACGTCATACACGAGGGGTTGGTTCGAGTACTCTTCCCTAACGCGAGAAGATTTGAGGGGGAGGGGGGTACCGACAGGGTGGCGATGGGGAGGGGCAATATTATTGTACTTGAGTCATGAAGTGGTTTTAAAACAAAAGTTGTAAAACATTACTAGTGTGAATCAAGTTGATGTGTGTGGTTAGTGTTGTGTGGTTAGTTTGTTTGGCTTGTATTGTGTGAGGCAGGTATTTTGTGTGCGGCGTGTATTATGTGCGGCGTGTATTATGTGTGGCGTGTATTATGTGTCGCGTGTATTTTATGTGAGGCTAGTATTTTGCGGGATTGAAGTCAAAACAAACACCTTATGTTTAAGCTGAGCTTGTGATCTGATAATAAATCATGTTGTTTACATACCACATTTGATATCCTTGGTTACTCTCATATTGTACACATGAGGTTTTTTTTTAAACTTTTAACGCACGACTTGTTGACTTGTTTTAAATGGCCATCTTTTGTTATTCAATAGCAAAGGCTCTGGTGTTTGTGTGAATGTGTGTTTACAGACGAGTATAAAAGTTAGTATGTGTGGGTAAAGTGGGGGAGGGGAGGGAGAAGCTGTTTTGTGTATAGTGTGTGTTTGTGTACATGTTGGGGTTGGCGTGTAAACCCTATGTGTTATTTATACCCTTTCGGCATGCAAGGATCCAACAACCATTTATCAGTATCTCTCAACCTGTTATCTCTCAACCTGTTTTCTATCAACCTGTTATCTTTTAATACATTATCTATCAACCCATAATCTATTGACCCATTATCTATCAATCCATTATCTATGAAACCTTTTTTTCGTTTAAAACTGGGGGAAAGAAAATTCACATAATACATTGATGTAATCACATAATACAATTATGTAATCACATAATTCATTGGTGTAATCACATGATGCATTGATGTAATCACATAATACCTTACTGTGATTACATAATACATTGATGTAATCGTAATTACTGTTCTGACAAGTTAACTAATAAAACCCCGCCCCTCCACCCCCTCCCTCCGACCAAAACGAGGCTCTACTGTCGTGTAGACCAGTCAGCCGACAGTGGGCGCTTGTGACTCCAAGCCTAACCTGACATCAGAACGATCCATTAACCACCAAGCCTAAAGATCCATTAACAACCAAGCCTAACCTGACATCAGAACGATCCATTAACCACCAAGCCTAACCTGACATCACAACGATCCATTAACCACCAAGCCTAAAGATCCATTAACAACCAAGCCTAACCTGACATCACAACGATCCATTAACCACCAAGCCTAATCTAACATTAGAACGATCCATTAACCACCAAGCCTTACTTGACATTAGAACGATCCATTAACCACCAAGCCTAACCTGACATCACAACGATCCATTAACCACCAAGCCTAACCTGACATCACAACGATCCATTAACCACCAAGCCTAACCTAACATCAGAACGATCCATTAACCACCAAGCCTAACTTGACATCAGAACGATCTATTAACCACCAAGCCTAACCTGACATCAGAACGATCCATTAACCACCAAGTCTAACCTGACATCAGAACGATCCATTAACCACCAAGCCTAACCTGACATCAGAACGATCCATTAACCACCAAGCCTAACGATCCATTAACCACCAAGCCTAACCTGACATCAGAACGATCCATTAACCACCAAGCCTAACCTAACATTAGAACGATCCATTAACCACCAAGCCTAACCTGACATCAGAACGATCCATTAACCACCAAGCCTAAAGATCCATTAACCACCAAGCCTAACCTGACATCAGAACGATCCATTAACCACCAAGCCTAACCTGACATCAGAACGATCCATTAACCACCAAGCCTAACCTACCATCAGAACGATCCATTAACCACCAAGCCTAACCTGACAACGGTCCATTAACCACCAAGCATAACCTGACATCAGAACGATCCATTAACCACATGAGCGATGGATTCGATTCACTTACACAACGGCTCAGGCCCTAGCACCGTCCGGCAAGCTCTAGCGCCGTCCAGCCTGTTTTTACAAGCCCAGACAAGAGATAGATAAATGCTCTCAGGGATCTGTGGATGGGGTCACTGGATGGAAGCAACGACCTTGAACCAGGGAGCTGAAGAAATGTTGTTTGTTTTGTAATGAAAGATGATGATGATGCAGGTTTGTATTGAAACTTGATGATGTGGTCGGAACGATAAATATGACAGTTCTCTAATGGAACTTAATTTTGTAGTTTTCTAATGGAACTTATTTTGTAGTTTTCTAATGGAACTTGATCGTGAAGTCTTCAAATAGAATTTGATCATGCAGTTTTCTAATGGAACAAGATATTGAAGATTTCTAATGGAAATTATTTTGTAGTTTTCTAATGTACCTTGATTATATAATTTATAAATTTTAATTGCTAGTATAGTTTTATTGGTTCATTCACTAGCTTTATAAAACATCAGTTGTGAAATTTGAAGTTGCGAGAAAAATGAGGTCAAATCAGCTTAGGGGTCAAACAGACAGATTTTAGCAGGGGTTAAATTACAGCTTTCATGTTGGGGTCAAGTAACAGCTCTTTAGTTAGGGTTAGGGTTCAGGTTGCAGATCCTCGGTGAGGGTTAGGGTTCAGGTTGCAGATATCAGAGAATATGCCTGTAAAAGGAAATGTAGCGCCATCGTTCATGGAAAAAAAATCAATAAAAATATTTTTTCTCGTATTGAACAATTTTCAAGAAATTTTTCCTTTCGTTGCTGTCAACTTTGATTTGAAATTTCGAGATTTTTCCCAGCAAAAATGAATTTGTAAAAACTCGAATAAAAGGCATGCGGGGATTTAGAGGAGGGGGGGGGGGAGGGACAGAAGCTCATATGGGGCTTTATTTTTGTTGCAAACCAGCGACATTGTCAATTTTAGCTATTTAAATCGGTGACATTGTCAGCGTGGATTATTTAATGTGGCTTTGTGAATATTTAGATTATTTAAGGAGGTTTTGTGAATATTTAGATTATTTTATGTGGCTTTGTGAATATTTAGATTATTTAAGGAGGTTTTGTGAATATTTAGATTATTTACGGAGGTTTTGCGGATCTTAAACTTTTTGAAACTAGCAGCATTATCAATCTTTAGTTAAGTTAATGTGACATTACTAGTCTTAATCGTATTTTAACAGCGACAGTTTCAATATTAAGTTAAGTTAATGTAACATTATTAGGTGAGGGGGGTTATAGGGGTGGGTGATGGGGGTGTATAGGGGTGGGTGATGGGGGTATTTAGGGGTGGGTGATGGGGGTATTTAGGGGTGGGTGATGGGGGATAAATAGTGGTTGGTGTTGAAGTGATGTATAGGTGTGAGTGATGGTGTGTTTGTTTATAAATATAAAAGGCGCAGTAGAGATTAGAGCTTTTGTAAATAAAATAAGAGTATCGATGTTAACATATTTTAACATATTCTCCTAGAGGTTCAAGATGACAGACTCACTGTATGCGTGATATTATTAACAGACGACTGACTTTTTGTGGGGTTGATAGGCTAGGGATGATAGAATATGTGTGGGGGTTGTAGGCTAGGGGGTGAGGTACTCTTGAGATAGACTTTTTGTGGGGTGGATAGACAAGAGATGATACTCTCTATCATCAAGAATTGATTTAAGATTGTTGAACCTAGACAGTTGAAAACCCGCCTGCCTGTCAATAAACTTGCCAGACCCTGTCTGTTGACTTGCCTGCCTGTCAATAAAACCTGCCTGCCTGTCAATAAAACCTGCCCGCCTGTCAATACACCTGCCAAACCCTGTGTGTTGACCCTAGTTATTTACCTGCCAGCAGCAATAGTCCCAGCCATGATGACGTCATGACTCCAGTCATGACGGTCTGTCTGTCAGCTCTTGGCCTCCACCACCCGGACATCCGTGTATACCAGGATACGGTTATCACGTGACCTCAAGAAAAACTCTCTCATACGATTTCATCTTACGTCAATACGTGAAGAAACTTGCAGTCAGGTGAGGCTAACCAGGAAGTGACGTCACAATAGACAGGTGATAGCGCGAGACTGCTGGCTGTCGGCTGCTGGGGAGAGAGATTTGAATTCTGGAATATTCAAAGGTCAGAGGGGAAAGTGCAGTTTTAACTAAGTTGATGGTGAGTTCCAGAAAAAATCGGCATCGCTAAATGTCAGAAATCACGTGACACGGGATTATTTTCTGCTGGTGCTATTAGACCCAGTCGCGTGACGGAAATTGATGGCTTCGGAAACTATTTTTAGCTCAATAGGGGGGAACATAGGTGGTCGAGTAGATAGTGGCAACTAGAGGAGTCAGGAGTCAAGGATAAGTTTCATTGGGGGACAGGAGTCAAGAGTCATGTCAAAAGTAACTTCATTCGGTCAACGATTTAGATCAATCTAGTAGTACTGAGCTAGCTAAACATATACATACATACATACACACAAATATATATATATATATATATATATATATATATATATATATATATATATATATATATATATATATGAAAATGTATATATACATGTTTATATATATATATATATAGATATATACATATATATACATAAATAAGCATATATATATATATATATATATATATATATATACACGAGTAAATAATTGCCGCCATTGACTTATTCAGCTGAAACGACTACCTGGATAAACTAGATGGAGTTAAGCAACGACAGCGGTAGAGAATGTCAAACCCTATATCCAATCGAATACAGCAGGGATATTGTGTTGTCTACGTCACTAATATTTGTGTTCTACAAGCACTTATGTTTTTAATGTAGAGTTCAAGGCTCAGTTTTTCTTCGTACATTCAGATATACGATCTACTCATCGTTTGTAGTGGAGTTCTAAGACTCGATTCATCCCTCCTTGATGTCGTTTTAAACATTGAAAAACGTTATTAGGGGTTAGGGAGGGTATGAATGGGGGGGGGGGGGTAGGTAAGAAAGACAAACGTAAAATTCGCTCACATTAAAAAGAAATTTGACTATACAGATGTAACCTTTGACTAACCCAGAGTTACCCAGGCAGATGAATGTATTTGTTGCTGTTGGTAACTACAGATGTGTGCTACATCTTTGTTACCGCCACATGTGGCTATTGTTACACCTTTGTAGCAACCGCGACATGTGGCTACATATGGCCAGAGTCTCGAGGTATTATGACGGATTAACTACTGAATTAGGCCACAGGTAGACAAAGCTGGTCGGTGGAGGCAGGTGATGGGCAACAGGGGGGGGGGGGGTGATACACCGCTACGGGTAGGGGGGGGGGTCAGAACAATATGGAGGCTTAGACGATTACCATATGTGGTGTGTTTGGGGGGGGGGGTAGAGAACGGGTGCAACATTTAAAATGAAGAGAGACACATTATTAATAGGGGTGGGGTAGACTATTGGTTGAGACAAATTATAAATAGGGATGGGGGTAAGTTGAGAGTGTGGGGAGTAGATGAAAGGATGGAGTAAACATAACACAGAGACGAGTGAGTAATATTATAGACCAGATGTTGGCATCAACAGAACAACTTGGAAAAAAATGTTAGGTTTTTTGTGATATCTACAAAAGCAATTGAACTCTAATTTTGTATGTTGAATTAACCCATCCTGTTTGAATGTGCGTACATTGAACCCATGCATTGTTTGTTTAACTGCTTGAATGTGCGTACATTGAACCCATGCATTGTTTGTTTAACTACCTGAATGTGCGTACATTGAACCCATGCATTGTTTGTTTAACTACCCGAATGTGCATACATTGAACCCATGTATTGTTTGTTTAACTACCTGAATGTGCGTACATTGAACCCATGCATTGTTTGTTTAACTACCTGAATGTGCGTACATTGAACCCATGCATTGTTTGTTTAACTACCTGAATGTGCGTACATTGAACCCATGCATTGTTTAACTACGTGAATGTGCGTACATTGAACCCATGCATTGTTTGTTTAACTACCTGAATGTGCGTACATTGAACCCATGCATTGTTTGTTTAACTACCTGAATGTGCGTACATTGAACCCATGTATTGTTTGTTGTTTAACTGCTTGAATGTGCGTACATTGAACCCATGCATTGTTTGTTGTTTAACTGCTTGAATGTGCGTACATTGAACCCATGCATTGTTTGTTGTTTAACTGCTTGAATGTGCGTACATTGAACCCATGCATTGTTTGTTGTTTAACTGCTTGAATGTGCGTACATTGAACCCATGCATTGTTTGTTGTTTAACTGCTTGAATGTGCGTACATTGAACCCATGCATTGTTTGTTGTTTAACTGCTTGAATGTGCGTACATTGAACCCATGCATTGTTTGTTTAACTACCTGAATGTGCGTACATTGAACCCATGCATTGTTTAACTACGTGAATGTGCGTACATTGAACCCATGCATTGTTTGTTTAACTACCTGAATGTGCGTACATTGAACCCATGCATTGTTTAACTACGTGAATGTGCGTACATTGAACCCATGCATTGTTTGTTGATTAACTACCTGAATGTGCGTACATTGAACCCATGCATTGTTTAACTACGTGAATGTGCGTACATTGAACCCATGCATTGTTTGTTTAACTACCTGAATGTGCGTACATTGAACCCATGCATTGTTTAACTACGTGAATGTGCGTACATTGAACCCATGCATTGTTTGTTGATTAACTACCTGAATGTGCGTACATTGAACCCATGCATTGTTTAACTACGTGAATGTGCGTACATTGAACCCATGCATTGTTTGTTGTTTAACGAAAAAACAAACTAGAACTCGAGTGTAGGAAATCAACTGTGTGGAATACACTTGAGGCAGGAAATGAACGCTAAACATTGTAATGCGCATGTCCCATCAATCAGGCGTTTGTCGGGAGCTGCAGCTAACGTCTGCGAGGGTATTGCCTCGTTCTGACAGACGACAAAAACGTGCAGTTAATTAATTAACCCAACTTAATCAGCCGGGAAGACAGCGTAAAATATGGCATGGATTGCAAGAAGTAAATCACCATGACGTCACATGTGTGTAATTACCGCAGATAGGTGTCTCGATTAATTAGAGAGAGTTTTAATTAACGTCTGGCTTCATCATGCTTTATCTTAGTAACATGCTGGAACTTTAATTGTAAAGTGTCTAAGACTTGGCTACCTGTTTCTGTCAGCCAAAGTTACATAAAGTACAGCTACATCTGACTGTTACATAAAATAGAGCTACATCTGACTGTTACATAAAGTAGAGCTAGCACTGACTGTTACATAAAGTAGAGCTACATCTGACTGTTACATAAAGTAGAGCTAGCACTGACTGTTACATAAAGTAGAGCTACATCTGACTGTTACATAAAATAGAGCTACATCTGACTGTTACATAAAATAGAGCTACATCTGACTGTTACATAAAGTAGAGCTAGCACTGACTGTTACATAAAGTAGAGCTACATCTGACTGTTACATAAAATAGAGCTACATCTGACTGTTACATAAAGTAGAGCTAGCACTGACTGTTACATAAAGTAGAGCTACCTCAAATGGTTATCAAAAGTAGGGCTACATGAAAGTGACAGCCATTAAGGATGAATACATGACTGCTATTAACTACGAACCTAAAGAAAACCATACAAGGTGTGACTGTACACATAGGAGCCGGCTCACTCGCTTATAAAATAAACGGTTTTAGAAAATATATGATAAATGTCAAGGCTAATTTAGTACTCACACAAACACACACACACACACCTTAAGTGTCACACACGCACGTTAACACTTTATGCACCGAGCACGGTTAAGCCCCCCTCCCCTACCCCACTTAAAGCAATGAGCTGTTACCATACACCCCACCTTCATCCCTGGCGGGTATTCACACCACCGACGTCATCAGCCGGCCAGGTGATCTCGTCTCTTACCTGTGGCGCCCCCAGGTGCTCACAGCATAGAGACTTATGTCAGGCTTAGAGTGGTGCATCGTTGTCTGGGGGTCAATAGACGTGGAGAACCTAGTCTTTTGTCTATAGAGAACCTAGTCTTTTGTTTATGGAGAACCTAGTCTTTTGTCTATAGAGAACCTAGTCTTTTGTCTATAGAGAACCTAGTCGTTTGTTTATGGAGAACCTAGTCTTTTGTTTATGGAGAACCTAGTCTTTTGTCTATAGAGAACCTAGTCTTTTGTCTATAGAGAACCTAGTCTTTTTTCTATAGAGAACCTAGTCGTTTGTCTATAGAGAACCTAGTCTTTTGTCTATAGAGAACCTAGTCTTTTGTTTATGGAGAACCTAGTCTTTTGTCTATAGAGAACCTAGTCTTTTGTTTATGGAGAACCTAGTCTTTTGTTTATGGAGAACCTAGTCTTTTGTCTATAGAGAACCTAGTCTTTTGTCTATAGAGAACCTAGTCTTTTGTCTATAGAGAACCTAGTCTTTTTTCTATAGAGAACCTAGTCGTTTGTCTATAGAGAACCTAGTCTTTTGTTTATGGAGAACCTAGTCTTTTGTCTATAGAGAACCTAGTCTTTTGTCTATAGAGAACCTAGTCTTTTTTCTATAGAGAACCTAGTCGTTTGTCTATAGAGAACCTAGTCTTTTGTCTATAGAGAACCTAGTCTTTTGTTTATGGAGAACCTAGTCTTTTGTCTATAGAGAACCTAGTCTTTTGTCTATAGAGAACCTAGTCTTTTGTCTATAGAGAACCTAGTCTTTTGTTTATGGAGAACCTAGTCTTTTGTTTATGGAGAACCTTGTCTTTTGTCTATAGAGAACCTAGTCTTTTGTTTATGGAGAACCTAGTCTTTTGTCTATAGAGAACCTAGTCTTTTGTCTATAGAGAACCTAGTCTTTTGTTTATGGAGAACCTAGTCTTTTGTCTATAGAGAACCTAGTCTTTTGTCTATAGAGAACCTAGTCTTTTGTCTATAGAGAACCTAGGCTTTTGTCTATAGAGAACCTAGTCTTTTGTCTATAGAGAACCTAGTCTTTTGTCTATAGAGAACCTAGTCTTTTGTCTATAGAGAACCTAGTCTTTTACTTATGGGAAACCTAGTCTTTTGTTTACAGAGAA